AACTCCTTTTTATACAACTACTTAAAGGTAGTAAAAAGAAATCATAAAGTGAAACATTGAAGAAATGAAGAGAGGAAGGGCAGGAGAATGCAGTTATAGTATTCAATGCACCTATGGCAAAAGGAAATTAAAATAATTGGGGGCCTGGGTGGGAAAATTGAGGAGAGATGGAGGAGAATGATGGAAGGGATGACATGGATCAAGATGCAGTGTACTCATAAAATGACATGTTGAATTGAAACCCTTTGTACAACTACATCAAGACAAGAAGATTAGGAAGTTTTTTGGTAAGTGAAAAGGGATTCTCCTGTAACTTGTAGTGTGAAAAACAGTGACTGAAAGAGAGAAAATTGTCCAATGGCTGCCTCAACTTGAAGGTGCTGGGTAAAGTAAACTGGAGAGGGCTCTGTGGAACGCCGGGCAGTGGAGAGCAAGGCAGCTCACCCCGATGTTCATTTAGCCTTGCAGGACACCGAGCAGCTCACAGAAGGCCTTCACATTCAGCATCTTATTTGAGCTTCTTCAAGCAAGAGGATGGATCTCCACACCCTGTGGCTCATGCTTGCAATCCTAGCTACTCAGGAAGCTGAGACTTGAGGATCGTGGTTCGAAGCCAACCTGAGCAGCAACGTCCAGGGGAATTTGATCTCCAATTAACCCTGAACGAAAAAGCTAGGATAGCACCCAGACCCTGAGGTCAAAGCTTAGTACAGTGCACACAGGTGTATGCACACACACACACACACACACACACACACACACACACACACGTCCCTATGAGATATTTCTATTGTGAGAATAGGGGGTCAGAGCACTTAAGGCACATCTTCAAAGCCAGTGCTAGTCTTATCAAAGTATAACTTACTCTTCCCCAAGGTTTTATAAAATAGTAACTTGGATTGTAATATCCCAATTGGAATTATGCTTCCTGAAGGTGGCCATTAGCTAATTTGACTTCTTTTTCTTATTGAACATCCATAGCTCTTTTTTTCCTCCTCTGTCATTCACTTAGCAGGGGCTCTTTTGAAAACATTCAGGTGTCATCTGTTTCCCTTTCTCTGGGAAAAATCAGAATCATGAAAGAACACAATCCTAAGGCTAGAATTTGCGTTAGGACCAATCCACGTCGTGGTTTTTGTAGCTTAAATCAAAAACACCTGGCCATGAACTGACTGCTTCTGACGTTTAATTTCAACTCCTCTGTTTCCATCATATGATTGAACTTGTAAATGGCATACAGGCAGCTGTAGAAATTTATTTCAAAACATTTAATTTAGGTTCTTGGGAGATAAGGATTGCTAAAAATCAAACATGTCAGTTTTCTACTGTGGTTGCCTTGGTCATCCATCAAAGAGCTTATTTGACACAATATTCTAGTTCAGATGACTGTTTATGAATGATCGTAGAGGTTTTGAGGATCAAAGAAATCCAGCTCAAGTCTTAACTCTGCCTTTGCCCAGCTTTGAGAGCCTGAGCATGCCAATAAACATCTCTGAGCATTAAAGGAGCCATATTTACCATCAATGGTTAATTTGAGGATTAAGTAGGGTAATTTGTTTGCACATAGGGTATCTGCAGAATGGTAGTATGCAGAATGGTAAAGTCAAGGTCTCTCAGAAGGAAACACTGATATGAGTACAGTACTCAGAATTAAGAGATAGTTTTAAAGGGAGCAACTCCAACAGGTGGTCATCAAAGGTAGGGTTCTAAGGTCCTGGCCGAATGTCAGATGATCCACTTGGTATATGAGCTATCAGTAATAGAAAAGGCTAAGTGTGGTTTGTTGCCATTATCTTTTTCATATTTCATATTGAGTTGTGTCAGTGACTCCTAGGGTGGTGAAATTATATAAATAAATTGCTTATGGGGCCACATGGGGACATATGGTAGGTTGGCTCCTGGACATTACAATATGTGGAGACTTTGTGTCCTAATTGGCTTTTCATTTTCTTCTTTGAGACAGATTTTGTTTGTTGTTTAACCCAGGCTGCCCTGGAACTCAGGATCCTCTTGCCTCTGTCTCCTCGAATACTGGAATTACAGGCATGCACTACTATGATCACTTCTGATTGATTCTTAGGTTAAATGGAGAAGGAAGAAGTCTTACTATTCCTAATAAGAGTCTCTGGTGATCTTAGTTTATGCTAACAAACAAAGATACATAATAACTAGCCACCCTGTCCGGAGGAAATGGAATAAGCAGTTTTGGATACGGGCATGTGGTAATGAGATTTATCTCTAAGTATATATTGCCAGGCATAAATTCATCGTGTTTGTTTAATTTTCCATTTAAACTAACAATGAAGTATTCTATCAAAGTAAAAGACTAAAATTGTCTCAAATTGGTATAAATTCTTCCCTGCATGAAGAAAAGTACTGTAATTATGGAACAGTAGAAATATAATTGTTTATAGTCCTTAAGCACTATCACAATTAAGACATCACATTTGTTAAGATTTTAGAATCTTTGGGTTATGACTTTTTAATCTTTTATTTTTAACTTCAAATTCTGAGCTTGCTACATGTCCTTTTATTTTTTTTAATGCTCTACTTGAGCTAAAAGGTTGGTACTCAGCAATCTTGTAGGGTCATAGCCTAAGACTATTGGAATGACTCAGAATGTAACACTAAATACAGATGGATTTAATTTTCACTTTGATTTGATTTGATAATCTTTAGGAGATTTAAATCTTGTTTGACAATTATAATATTATCCATGGAAACTATTTCACTTTGTTCTAAATGTATAGAGACTTTACATATTTTCATATCAGATGACAGTTCCTCTAGCCAGTTTCTACAAACACATAAGCATAATGCTTAGTAAGGTCTATCTGGACCCTGCTAATGAGATTTCCTCATTAATCTTTTTCTTTAATACTGACATGAAATTCTCTAATAATAGTTCTGTAAGGAATAAATATATTGATATCAAGCACTTACTTTCTAAATCAGCTCCCCTTGTTTTTTCTACAAGAAAAAAAAATGACTTTCCAAATATGTTCCAAGGTGGTATCATTTCCTTATCCCAGAGCAAAAAGTTTCATGTTTAAGGCTATGTCAGTGTGAGCATACGTCACAGATAATATTTTCCTTTATCCAGTATGGTCAGCAGTAATTATAGTGAGCTTACCCTCTGCATTGTCAGTTCCAAACATGTTTATGATTCTAAGTACATTGTGCATGGCTATTAAAGGTAAAAGCAACAGCAGGGGCATGGTTCCAACTGCTTAGTAAACAATTGTGGAAAGATGTTTATTAAAGCCTGCTCTCAAGTGACAGATAAATGCATGGTTCTATTATGTATGCTAAATTCAGCACATTTCCAAGCTTAAAAGCAGATAGATCAAAACAGGAGGGATTTTAAAAAATCATAAAGACAAAATGTTACAATGTCAGAATGTGACAGGAAAGTAATTTTTCCTTAAGAAAGATCCTCCCTTCAGCAACTCAAGATAGACGGAACCATAACTTAGGGAAGCAAATTAACAGCAAGTTAAGAGTGCTCCATTTCTTGCATCAAGCTTTCAAAAACCTGTTTAAATCAGCTCTAGTTAAGGTACCACTTTGTCCCTTATGCACACCCACACATACAAAAAAACGACATCACATAATTACTAATGTAGAATTCTTATTTATTAATATGCGATGATTAATTCTTTAAAAAATAAAAAACCAAAAAATGTAAGATGCACACACAAAGGAGACTCTTGTACAGCTTTTTCCAGCACATAAGGTCCTGCTACATGTTTTTTATTTTAGAAGAATTATCTTGCTCAGGGATGGCATATGTTTTTTTCTCCATATTCACTGTCCAGAACCATATTTCCAGAAAAATGCACAAATATTGTAGATGGTAGGCAATGCAATCTTCAACATGATTACAAATTCAGTTCCTTAGTTGTCTGGGGCTTTATATAAATGCCAATAAATTTGAGAGTTCACCCAACTGTGCCTCTTAACCTTTGTTCCCAAAGGTAAAGGGCAGGATTTTTTAATCAAGTAGCAATTTATCTTTAATTAGGAAAACATAATTAGGCATTATCACCTAATTGCAATTACTGGTTGGAGAAAGTCACATTTCATAAGCAGTGACCCATGTTAGATTACAATTCTCCTCTTCCTGAATTTCACATCTGTATTTGTGTTTGGCAATAAGCCAGTCAATTTAAAAAGTAATCAGTCATGGAGTCTGGGGCTGGTGGATCACACCTATAGTACTAGCTATTCAGGAGACTGAGATATGAGAATCAAAGTTCAGAGCTAGCCCAGGCAGAAAAGTCTGTGAAATTTTATCTCCAATTAACCACCAAGGAGCCAGAAGTGGAGCTGTGGCTCAAGAGAGAGTGCCAGCCTCGAGTAAAAAAATGCCAATGGACAGCGTCCAGGTTCTGAGTTCAAGCCCCAAGACCGGCACCCACATACATATAAAAACAAAATTTAAAAAAAGGTCACCACTATACTTCCCTGAAATCTAGTGTTAAAACTAACAAATCTGAAGCTGAATAGAAAACCAAGATCCTCCTGAAACCCCAGTTTAGCTGTCTCTGTTTCTTGCTCAAGCATCAAGTGTAAATCAAAATAATTGTATTTAAGAAAAACACATAAAATAACATTAGAGAACTGTTCCACACTTCTTTTCTGGTACAGTTAAAAACAGTTTTAATGTCTCAAGGCACCTCTAAGGTTGAATATCAGATACATGGGGTAATTAATTGGCTGATCTACTATGCTGGAAAGTCAGTAAAGAGCTTGTGCAATTGTGAAAAGCAATCTCTAGAGGACTGTTATGTGTAGAGTAGGCACGTGGATTATAAGACAAATACAAAACAATGAGTCCTAGAAAAAAGCATGTTGAGCACCGTTGTGGCATTGTTTATATTTCCTTACCTAACACTACGTAAACCCGACATTTACAAAAAAGAAAGACTAACTTTTTGTTTTAGTTACACTTAATGTTGCTTTTTTTTTTTTAATGTGCTATCTCCATGTGAGTGAATCTAGTTCGTAGGGGTACTTTTAGAAGTGGTCGGGTCTAGATCAGTTTCTGTCACACTGGTAGATTCATTCAAGTGGGAGCTCAAGTTCTCTGAAGTCAGGTGGGAAGATTTGTAGATGATCTCATTGAAGTCGGACCCGATGGAAACCAGTGGAGGGTCGTGCAATGGCTCTTCCACGGAAGCCTCTGTGTTCTCTCGAGTGATCCCCATATCCTTGCTATGTTCTGAAGGGGATTTCCTTTTCATGCGAGTGTAAGTTTTGTCTTGATTTTCCATGCCTTGCTCATTCTTCAGGAACCGTCCAAAGAACCAGATGAAAAAGCCAAACCACACAAAAGCAATCAAACTTGGGACAAAAGCCAGACATTTCACATCCAGGCTAGCCCCAATGAACCTGCTGTGTAAAAACATGTCTCCTTCCACATAGGTCTTATTTGTCTGAGGGTTGGTGTGGTTAGACCTCCATTCCCAAGACAGCTTTGTTCGGTTTAAATCCTTTAAACTTTCTGGGTCTTTCACTGTGTATATCTTTTGCCCTGGGCCAATATACTGCCCGTATTCATGAGGTTTATAAAATATCTGATTTTTCCACATATTAAGATCCAAAATCAAGACGAGGAAGATAATTCCATAGTTAAACCATTTACCTGCATTGAAAGAAAAAAGAAATAGGGATTAATCAAGGGCACAGGAAATTGTAACAGGGCTTTCTCCAACAAAATTTTAGATAATTGTATAGTAGTAGTATAAATGATGAATGTTTAAGATCTGTTAGCAATTAATTTTTTATGAAAGTGCTACACTGCTCTAAAGTGAATTAACAAAGGAAATGTGCAATATATTTTAGGCATATGAAAAGGTAACTGTAGATGTCAGTAATGTATGATATTCACAGTAACAAGATTACGCCTGTTTTATTTGTACCACAGATATCCTCAAATTTGATTCCTTGTAGGTTTTTCTCTAGAAAATTTCAATTAATGTTGGAAAACAAGATTCTAATAAAATCCTAAGGGAAGTCCAATATATGATTGAGTAGCTCTTACAGTTTTATAATTAGGCCTGGGGAAGAAATAAATCATTTCACAATGCAAAGCACAGTAGTATATCCATTGAATTCCCATTGATGTTTGTAGGTGACCTGCTGATTAAACCATTAGTTGGTGTGTGATTCAGATCAATAATCCCTGAGCATTCAAGATACGAGAAATTAATTGCATCAAATTCTCATCAAACACAATACGGTTACACAACTATAATCAAAGCTAGTGAACAGCCTTTTTGTTTTTGGTGTGTGTGTGTGTGTGTGTGTGTGTGTGTGTGTGTGTGCTGGTCCTGGTGTGTGTGTGTGTGTGCGTGTGTGTGTATGTGTGCTAGTCCTGGGGCTTAAACTCAGAGCCTGGTGCTGTCCCTCAACTTCTTTTGCTCACGGCTAGCACTCTACCACTTGAGTTAGAGCTACATTTCCAGTCTTTTTTTTAGGTGTGTGTGGGGGGAGGGTTGTTTATTGGAGATATGAGTCTCCTGGACTTTTCCTGCCTGGGCTGGCTTCAAACCACAACCCTTGGATCATAGCTAGGAGTACAGGAGTAAGCCACTAGAGCCTGGTGCAAGTGAACAGCTTTAAAAGACATTATTTGAAGAAATTGTAACAATTATGATTTTCTTGTAGTGTTTAAAATATTTTTTTCTTTTATTTCATTTTTCTTTTTTTAATAAGTTTTTTAATTGTGAAAATGCTATACAAAGGGGTTACAGTTACATGAGCAAGGTAATGAGTACATTTCCTATCAAGCATTGTGGCCTCCTCCTTTGTTTTTCCTCTACCATCCCTTCCCTCCCATCTCCTCCGCTACACTCCCACCCTTCCCCTCCCCCATCCTCCTACCCTTCCCCTCCCACACCCCCCCCCTAAATTGTAAAGTTCATTTTTCAACATAGTGTCTTGTACATCTCATTGTTACAATGGGTCCACCTGTATCCCTATTTGAACATTTTGTTTTTTCCCTTCCCCTCCACAAATTGGAGCAACATCAAATACAGTGAGAACAGGGGTTATACCCTGGGGGAGGAACACACAAAGCAATGAAAAAAAAATCTCATGTACCTTATAAATACCTTAGAAACAATAGGAAGAAAGAAAAAAACCACTTGTGTCCCTATCTTGGGATTCATTTCGCTTAACTTCATCTTATCTGGTCATATGTACATAGCTTTTGACCTTTTCTACTTGTCCCAGACATATACTAGTTATTGCAAATAAGAGATATCATGGAAAAAAAAAGAGATATCATGGGACCTATGTTTCTTTGGACCTGGCTTCAGCTTAAAGCTAGTGCTCTACCACTTGAGCCACAGCGCCACTTCCTAAAATCTTATATATTAATGCCATTTACTTAATGATTTATTATTGAGTGATACCTTTACATCTGCTAATGGAAAAAAGAAATATTCCAAGGGACATGAGCTTGTTTTAGATATTTATTATATGTTACAGTATTTATTATATTTATGTTTAGAATATTCCTAGCATTAAGGTATTATAATTAGATACTACAACTTATTATAGTACAAACTATAGTATAGTAATATAGTAACTTTTATCCCATGAGTTTATTGAAGCAAATTAGGTGACACAGGTAATAAGGTTTAGTAGCTTTTGTTATAAATGTATGTATTACACTTGATCTTAGCCAAAAAGGCTGAGAAGCGATAGCTTTTGTTATAAATGTATGTGTTATATGAAAATTCTTTTCTCATTATTTGAAAATAAAATTGACATAACTATGAAGAGCTTGGAAAAGTATTTTGTTATCACTGTAAACTACTTCTATGCTCCTTTACATGTGACGTTGAAAGGTATTAACTCATCCTTTATTACATGGTTCATGCCACATAGTAAATCTCAGAAGGCTGAGATTCGAGGATCGAAGTCTGAAGCCAACCTAAGCAGGATAGGCCATGAGACACTGATCTCTAATTAGCCATCAAAAAAGCCAGAATTAGAAACATGGTACAACTGGTAAAGCATCAACCATGAGTGAAAAAGCCATGGGAGAATACAAGGCTCTAAGTTCTAACCCAAGTACCAGAACAACAACCAAAAAACAAAAAAGAAAGAAAGAAAACCATGACTCAAAAATGTACAAGCCCTGTGATTTTCATCAGTTGTTTAAATTCCCAGTCCATTTTCTTTACAGGCTGAAAATAATAGTATTTACTAAATGTTAGCATTTTGCAAGATTATTAGATACTAAGATGGTGCATAGAAAATAAGGAATCAGTAATGGTTAATGTGGATTGATTATATTCTAATGAAACCTACTCTAAACAGTGGTGATTTCTTCATGTGCCTGAGAAGATGCAACGTTCCCTCACCAAGAAATTTTACATAAATGAAGTAGTGATTCTCACACTAGGTATTTAAATTTCTCCAGCTTGACTTTTCTTATTTTGTTTTATGACTTATTCTTATCATGAATCTATGGAGAGAACATTGCTTCCAACAGTCTCAATGTTTTGCCGTGTCAGCAAACTGCATCCCCAGTGTTCCAAATGATTTTCTAGATTGTAGAAGCCCACAAATATGTGCAAAACCAAAAATGAAATACAAAGGTGATGGATGTTACTAAATAATTTATTGTGAACATTAACTGCGCAGGACACATTGGTCAATGGAGAAGACTTTCACTTGTGCATTGCAGAAGGAACTGACCAATGTGTTAGAGATGGGAAGCTGGACAGAGATAGTAACGAAGTTCCCTGCTGTAGGAGACATGGTTACAAACACCAGATAATAGAGGCGCCTTGAATTGAATTTGTATGACTGTTAACTACCTTCCTTCCTTCCTTTCTTTCTTTCTCTCCCTCTTTCTCTCTCTCTTTCGTTCTTTCTTTCTTTCCCTTCCTTCCTTCCTTCCTTCCTTCCCTCCCTCCCTCCCTTCTTTCTTTCTTTCTTTCTTTCTTTCTTTCTTTCTTTCTTTCTTTCTTTCTTTCTTTCTTTCTTTCTTTCTTTCTATATTGCTTCCTTCCTTCCTTCTTTTCTTTCTTTCTTTCTATATTGCTTCCTTCCTTCCTTCTTTTCTTTCTTTCTTTCTTTCTTTCTTTCTTTCTTGTCCTGGGACTTGAACTCAAGGTTTGATCCCTGTCCCTTTAGTCTTTTCTCTCAAGACTGGCACTCCACCAACTTGAGTCATAGCTCCACTTGTGGCTCTTTCCCTGGTTAATGGAATAGTCTCATGGACTTTGCTACCCAAACTAGCTTCAAGCCACAATCCTCAGGTCTAAGTCTCCTGAATAGCAAGGATTATAGGTGTGAAGAATTGATGCTGGTTGTGTTCTTCTTGGACTCTTCCTTGGAGAAATGTGTAAATTCTTTTAAGAAATAAAATCATACATCAATCAAGACTTGTGGTATAAAGAGATTGGTTGAATAGAATCCTCTTTGTACAATTACTTAAAGATGATAATAATAGTAATAATACACAATACCATAGAGTATAATAAAATAAATAACAAGGAAGTTCTCATGAAGGACTCTTTGTAGGATTGAAAAGATATCCCAGAACAGGACAATCAGAGAGGAGAAAGAATGATGTTTGTAGAGCTGGCTTGGTGAAGGATGATTTTCTAATAGAGAGAAGATGCCAGGTGTGTTAAGGGTAATGAAATAAACCCCATACAACGAAAGTGAAGCAAATAGACACCAAACAAAGAAAGAACATTGAGATCAAGGGAAGATTTTTTTCTATACTTCCAAATTACTTTTCTACAGGTTGAACTGCATTGGGTCAGTCTGACCAAGAGATGTTCACATCAAAGATTGCTCTCTGCTATATTTTCATGAGGCCTGAAGTCAGAATATTTAGATGAGGCAGTAAGTCCAAAAAAAAGGAGTTGCCTAACATCAGCAAATGAACATCATCCCCTGACTCCAATACCACTTTGCCTCTTTGTGAGAAGGAATAAGTACAATGGAACAAAAGCTACAGGCTAGAAATCAGCAGAAGGAAGTCTCATCCTAACACTAAATTTAAAGGCTATGATGTTAGGGCAGCCTATTTAGTCTCTTTTGACCAAAATTATTACATTGGCACATGGAGGGAAATGAGCTTACAATATGAGGATTCTGATGCCCTTCCCCTAAATCCTTTTAATTATTAGCCGTTGATAGAATTCAATTTTTATTCTGTGCCATGAAGACTGAAACTAGTGAACTAGTGTGTGTGTGTGTGTGTGTGTGTGTGTGATAAAATGAGAGGTTATATTTGAAAGTTCTCTGAAATATATTACGTTTGCCAAAAGCATAAGCTGATATTACTTCTCCAATTTCTTTCCCCTATTGTCAGTTTCAGTAATGCAGCATCTTGGTGCTAGAATGGAGGAAAACAAAAGTATGTAAGGGTGATAACAAAACCATATCTATTATATTAGTGATGGAGAAATTTCAGTTTAGATAAACTAGCATGGATTATTGAGCAGGTAAAATACATGGGCCTAGATCCCCAAGAAAATCTAGTGTGTATCTCTATGCAAATATGCTTTGTGAGTTAGCATAATGAGCACGTAAAAATCCTTAGCATCTGATACTTTTATAATCTGTTTGCATGAGTGCTGGTCCTGAGCCTAGTACTTCTAGGATTACAGG